CCGGCCACCGCCAACGCTTCATCATTCTGTTGGACCATTTCGTGATAATGCACGTATTTATCCCGGCAGCAATACTGGGCCTTAGTCCTGAAGGCTTTAAAAACAAAACTGTCAAGCTGCCAATTGTGCGCCAAATTGAACATGATGAGGAAACAACATGCATATCGAAGGGTATATCTTATAAATATATATATACATATTCATACATATATAATAAACAAGCTATTAACACATTGTTCAACGTTGAGTAGCCTTAAATCACGCCTCATCAGACAGACCGAAAAAAACACCACAAAGCTTTTATTTGTGCAACTTTACACTGGAGAAAATAGTTGTCTTAAAAATAATTTTAAAAATAATATTAAATTTTTGAAATCAAACTTTTATTTCATTTTTATGTTTTTATTTTATATTTTTTTTTTTTTTTTTAATTATTTTATTCTATTTATATTATTATTATATTTTTTTAAATTATATTCCTTAATTTTTTTCTTTTTTTTTAGTTTTAAAATTAAATTTCAGTTATTTATTATTCATATTTATTTTTATTTTGTATCTCTTTCTCTTTAGTATGATTATTTGTTCCATATTTCCTACCAGTATTTTGTTGTGTAGTGTAATATTTTCGCATTTGCTAGTCAGGCGTAAAGCCACATTGACCACGTTTAAATAGCCTTTTAGTCAAGCTAAACTAATACATTTAACATACACACATACCCACAAACACACACACACAAACACACACACGCACACAACAGGTTGTTTTCGGGCACGACATTGACAAGGCTTCAGCTCTTCCTCTTCTTCGTCATCATTTTCTCTTTCGCTCTTTTGTGTCACACATTTTATTTGCCTTTTATTTAACAATTTTTATTCTCGTTGTGCCCGAAAGGTCATTTGTGGTTGGTTGGCCAAAAAAACACGTTGTTGTTGTTGTTGGTGTCTGCTTTATAGCACCCCGGCCATTGGCACTAAAGGGGCATTTTGACAAACACATTAGATGGCCAGTTTTGGTAGCCTTTTGGCTAAGCCGAGTACCCGAACCAGAAACCGCCGACCCCTAGACCGAACCTTTCTACGGGCCGCAAGAGCCTTATTAGATTCCAGCAGCAAAGGGACGCGGCGTAATCTTTTGTGTTTTATCAACGTATTTGATTAAACTTTGTTGCTGTTGCGGCTTTGCCTACTTTGTGGCTTGAGGCGTTAATCATACGCCCCATTGTGCCAGTCGATGCTCGTCGGCCTTCGCTCAGCGTTTACACATGTGCGTAGTTTTTTATTCATAAGAGACAAAAAGAGACACACAAACTGTTTATTCAAGCAGAAAACTTGACAAATATTAGCAACCAAAAACATTTAATTTGTGCAACTATCTGCCCAAGAAAAGTCTCTAAGGAGCTGTAAATCTTATATGCATATGATATAATGCGATATTTACCTGTAAAGTAAATTAGACTGAAATTTATAAAAAATATATATATTATTTATATAGATATATATTTTTTTTAGGAATCTCTTAACTTTTTCAGGCAAGTCTTTTTTCCTTTTTTTTATTTTAAATTATTTATTAGTTAAAGCATTTGCTTTATTTTATGTAACAAGTTTTCTGATATCTTCATTGACAACTTCATCTCCATTTTACTTTCTAGAAATTTACCTAGGTAAATATATACTTTATCAAAAGAATTTCACGGATTCTGCTGCAGTCCATGCAGTCGCAGACCTGACTGCGACTTGTTTACCCATGAAATATTGCTTACAATATTCTTTGACATGTGTTTATTTTTTTGCATTCATAAACTACTAGGGAAATTTCTTAGATATAAATTCTCCGAATATTTTCTTTGCATGGCTGTGCAGTAATTAAATTCTGCTCTGGTGGCAGCTGTTGCGTTCAGTTGCGCCAATTCAAATTCTCTCAGATTTTTCGCTCATGTTGCACTGATAGCAACAACAAAAAGTGGAAATTGAGAATTTTCATTCACACGTTGGAAAAAATATTTACATGCCCAATGCCCACTCTCTCTATATTGTGGGCGTGCCAATGCAAGCTGCCGTCAAGTTACGTTGATTTAATTTTTTTTTTTGCTCTCTACACTACATTGCGACAATCTTTGTCGCTGCTGTTGCCTTGCCAACAGATTGTAGAAAGTCATATTTATTGAGCATTTATTCGCTGTGATTTCTAGAGGAAAAAGGGCAAAGAGTGACGCGAAATGGCAGCCAACAGCTTGTTGGGAAAACTTTGAGTCAACAAAAATTGAGTTGGGATTCAGGTGAATAATGCGCCTGAGGTCTCTTGGGCACATAAGTTGTATGGCTCAATTTTGGTCAAGCGATTAGGCAGCAGCAGCAGCGGCTAGACAATGTCTGTCCATCATGAAACTTTCAGTGCAATGAAGCGAGTTTACTTGGTAACTTTTTCGACTGAACTAAAGCACTCAGACTTCTATTAGATTGACGTGATTATGCAAAATATACATGTATTACGGTACTATTTAATAAACAAGACAAAAGCTGCGAGATAGCAAAAACTAAAAGGTAAGGAACGATAAATGTATAAAATGATATTCCTGAAGAATTATTATTATATTATTATTATTTAATCGATATGGAAGCTCAAAATTAATTAAATAATATAAAATAATAATAATAACAATAAAAATAAAATAATAATTAATTAGTCATATATATCCATCAATTCATCTAACTACATTTTAGTCTCAGTTAAACAAACTTTTTCTCTTTCCATGCTGAATATAAATTTTAGATATTTGCATTGAGGCGAAATTGAAATATCGTATATATACTAAATATTTACATAAATAAATCGAAACGCGCACATGCCACTAGTGTTTAATGTTTTTTTTTTTTTTCGTTCAAGAGGTCAACCAGTCAAAAGGTTAGGTGAACGGCGCACCTGTTCAATGTATTCACATTTGTTACTTTTTTATTCAATTTATTGCACATTGAGGCAGAAACAAACGAAGGCCGTGGTAAATGATGTCATGGACTAAGGACTGCACAACACACACACGTACATACACACACAAACATATATACATCAATTTATTAAACAGCGTTGCACTGTGGCCACAATTAAAGCCTAAACGAATCAATAAAAACGCAATTCCAATGCAACGCCAAGACGTAGCGCCATAAAGGGGCATGGTAGTTGGGGCACATATATTAAAATTCATATGCAAAAACACAAAAAGCAAGGGAAAAAGAAAAATTTGTGGTGTAAATAAACTTAAGCAAAGTTTTGCGCTCCAAGCGCTGCCCTCAGCACTGCAATTCATTGCAAACGTCATAAATTCATTTTAGAAGCGGCAAAAAAATAACTAAGAAGAAGAAGAGCAATGCAGTGCAATTGAATTATTTATAAGATAAGCTGAGCAGCACAGCGGGAGAGTAATGGGAGAAAGCCAGGGGCCTATACACTATAAAGTAGCTGCAGAGCGTAGACAAGTCAAGTGCCAGACTACTTTCGCCCAGGGGCTAAAAATGGGAGAGAGAGAAACAGAGAGAGAGAGAGAGAGAGGGAGAGAGAGAGAGAAAAATAAGGGAGCAACAATGTGACAAAGGCAGGTGTGAAGTGTGTGAGCAAATGCAAGTGTGTGTGTGATGTGGAGAGACTCCTTGAATAATGATAACAAATAAGCTATGCTACCTATGCAGCTGCACATGCAAAAAAAAAAAAAGAAAATAAAAATGTAAGATGTAAAAAAAAAAAGTAACAGTAATTTTGTGAGCACAGTTAGGCACTAACAGATACCCTGTGGTGTATATGCAGAATATCCGCTGTCTGATAACATATTATCATATTATCCATGAGAACTCATTGCTATTGAGCATGAATAGATTATTAGAAAATTTTAAGTTGGAATTTTTTGGCCTATTTTTAAATTTTATATAAATTTCAGGAGAGTATTATACAAAATCGTTCTAATTCCATAAGAAAGAATTTAATGTTGAGGATTATCAAAAGAGCAAAATAGAAGTAAATGTTGCTTATCAATAAATATTAACATTGCTGTATTTAAAAAATTATATATACAAAACATTTATATATCAGACTCTACCTTCAAAAATATTTCTAATGACTTATGATATAGCAGAACCTAATAAGCAAAGCCTTCATCATATATGATATACTTTAATATGTTTCAAGATCAATGCATTCATATGTATGATAATAAAAATAGAGAGGCAGACAGACATACAGGTAGAGAAACAGACAAATAGACTCACAGACATATGTATAAAATCATTCAGATTGTCAAACACTGACTCAGAGCGCTTCACTTCTACTAAACCGATCCACCTAATCAACATTATTTATACATGATGCCATTCGCCACGTCTTCTATCAACTGCTGCATGCATATTATCCAATATACCCATATATACTCTTCACAATTTCCTGGATATGCCAACATGCTACAACAATAGGCACACATTGCCCCTAATAAAATATTGAGAAATGCACAAAAGAAAAAAATTGTCATAAACTTTGACTTCCTGCAGGCAACAGCTGAAGAGCTGAAATCCAACTCCGACACCCGCAGCGGCATTCTAAATGCAAAGGCATCGACAGCGCCGAAGGGTGTTAAGTGCATGCGAATTATTTCCTTCTCTTTTTTTGTTTTTGTGTTTTACTTTTTGCTTCTCTTGTTTTATTGTGTTTTCTTTAAGGGGTGGAAGCGATACAACGTGTCGTATACGTGATAGCGTGCGTATACGTGACGGTAGCAGCAAACGGAAATTGAATTGTAAGCAGTCGAAGGCAGTCGGAGGCAGTGAGGGCAATCAGATCAGCAAGGAGTAAAAAAAAAATAGAAGAAGAAGAGTAAAGGCATGTGTACGGATTTTAAGAGTTGAAGCTAATTGCAGGCATCAAAGTCTGCTTAAATGCGATGCAGTCGACCCTTCGAGAGAAATGATTTAAGGTTACTTTGCAGAGACTAATTGTTCTCTTAACTTCTCTTTTCTTGCAGAAAATGATGCACCTGAAGTCTCAGCTGAGTTACGGCTGCGCCTTGGCGCTCTTCAGCCTCAATCTCTTCATGCTGTCCAGTGCCGAGCTAGCCTCGGCTCAAGGTAAGCTAAGACTCTTTGACCAGCCCTCGCAGCTTAGCCATATTCTCTGTCATCTTGCAGGCGCTGCCATCAGCAATCTCTATGACAATTTGCTGCAGCGTGAATACGCCGGACCCGTAGTCTTTCCCAATCATCAGGTGGAGCGCAAGGCGCAGCGCTCGCCCTCGTTGCGCCTGCGCTTCGGTCGCAGTGATCCGGACATGCTGAACAACATCGTGGAGAAACGTTGGTTCGGCGACGTCAACCAGAAGCCCATACGATCGCCGTCGATGCGCTTGCGCTTCGGCCGGCGCAGCGATCCCAATTTGCCGCAGATGCGACGCACAGCCTACGACGAGCTGCTCGAGCGTGAACTGACCCTCAACAATCAGCAGCAGCTGCTGAATCAGCCAGCCGCTGGCTACGATGCCGATCTCTCAGAGGACTACGATGCGGGCTTCGAGCGTGCTGTGCGCAAGCCTCAACGCTTGCGCTGGGGACGCAGCGTAATCACCGGCATTCTGAATCTGGGCAATAATCGTTTGGACAAAGAGCAGGTAGGATGAGGATGTAAGGAAGGATTTTGGCTGGACCTATTGCGAATTGATCTTAAATTTAAGTTTGAGAGTCGCAAAGAGATGCGCTATTTATGGGAGAGACAATATTTAGAAACATGAGAGAGCAGACCGATTGCTCCTGAATTTTAGATTATGGAAATCGTCTCGAAAGACAAGTGAAGACTGTTCGAATTTATTTCTATTACTTCTCTTAGGTTATTATACATCACTATTGATTCTAATGAATTTAATGACAGATTCAACACTTAATAAAAGCAAATTCTTTAATTAAAATTTAACCCCTGTTTCTATCTCAATCCCCATCTTCGTCATCAGCGTATACAAGCTGAAATAGAACAATATTTGCGGCAGGCGCAAGAAGTGACCCGCATGCTGAAGGCCCTGCAGCAGGAATACGACATCCCAGCTGTCGAACGTGCCCTTGAATCGAACGAAGATCAGGACGATGAGCAGGGCGAGGAAAATGCGGAGTATCAATTTCAGCGCGAGTCTCGCAAGCCCATGCGTTTGCGCTGGGGTCGTAGCACCGGCAAGGCGCCAGCCGAGCAGAAGGTGAGCAAAGCCCAGTTGAAACTTATATTTTCATAATGATATCTCCGTTTCTTAACTCTAGCAAATGCCGCTAGCCGCTGCTGTTTCTGCCGAGACAGCGTCCGTGGCGCCCAAGTTACAGAACTAAATGAACAAACAAAAGGGAATGAACAAAGGACACTCTAAGCAACAACTAGGCGGAAATGTAACAAGACACACACACCGACACACAACACACACACACACACCAATACAAACGCAAATGGCATACGATTCGAAACACTCGGCTGAGAAACAGTTTTTGCAGGCATTTACGGTAAGCGCAGGGAGCTAATGACACGTTCTAAAGAATATATACATATAAACCATATATAATATATATACATATACTTAAACATACATATGATATATGTATATATGTATACACATAACCGATTACGTGTGTACATTCTAATTTTGTGCACCTATTTAATTGTATAGACATTTTAGCCCATGAACTTTCTAAAGTAGCTGGAAAATGATTAAACAAATTACATAAAAAACTAAATTTGTAATATTAAAATTTATAAAAATACATATTATAATTTATACAAATTTTATCTAGTTTCAGACATTATTAAAATTTATATTCTTGTTTTTTTTTTATAATATATTCAAATATATATTTTTTTGTAAAACAAAACAATATATAATTTTAAAATTTATATTATAATGTATATACATTTTTTAAAACTTAAAATTGTTTAAAAAATAAAAAAAATAAAAATTTTTTTTATAAAATTAGTTTTATAAAAATTTATTTGCTAAATTAATAATTTATTTTTCCTTTTTTTTTCATTCATACTGCACATATTTTAATTTATTTTATTGTGTTTAATAAATTTATTTTAAGCAACGTTATGTTCTCCAAAGGTCTTTATCCAAACAAGCTCAATTAAATTGCCTCTCTAACACGTCAATCGTAATACCAAAGCAAAAAAAAAACAAAAAAAGAAGAATAAATGTATATAATGGATATGGAAACACTTTTTTAAATGTAGCGCAAATTTGTTATAAAAAAAAAAAAAAAAACAAACACTTATTTAAAAAAAAAAATTATAAAAAAAAAATTATATAAAATCGTATTATATTTTGTTTAAATTTTAAGCAAATTTTATTACAGTTATGAAATAAAATGTTTAAAAAACATTTCAAGGCCCCCGAAAGGTGTATTACTGCAACAATTGTTATATTCTGTGTGCTAAAATTGAATTATATACATTTATCTAATACTATATATATATATATACTACCTACACAAATAAAAATAAAATGAAGAAAATAAATAAATCAATATAAATATATACTATGAATAAATATTTGTCTACTAAATGTATTGAACTTTTATTGATGTATTTTTCAAAAAATAAAATTAAAAAAAAAACTTAAGCAACATTACTAAAAAAAAAAAACAAATTCAATTAAAGAAAACCGACGACCGTTGATATCCGAAAACAATTTTCGAATCTAACAAAATCTTTTGTATATTTTATTTACACCATCATTGAAAATATGGAAACTTAAATAACTATATTTGATTTACATATGAAGAGAGAAGAACATTTTAATATAACATCTAACAAAATAAAATATATTAGGCGATACTAGGAGGAAAATGCTAGAAAGCGGTCGAACCGGGCATATATAGACATACATATATGTGCATTTGCATATAACCATATAATAAATAAACTAAAATAAATGTAAATAAAATGCTGAATACACGCAAAACATATTTTACCCGATATAAACAAATACATACTATATACCTTACAAAATACAGTATAATAAATGATGCAACTCTGTAGGGAGTGAACAACAACAAAATTGTTTATTTATTTACAAAATCAGTTTCTTTACCAGTCAGGCAAATCAGCTGATTCCTACGAGCTCAAAGAAGCAGCACACTGGCCAATGACAGAGCTTTGATCATTTAAAGAAATTAATTTAAAGTGGCTGCCCGAGAGTATGCAGCATAAACTCCATGTTTGAGTCGGTGCTCACTCAATCGTGGAGTTTAAAAATTTTCTACTGATTTCTATATGGGTGCTGTTTCAGGTAAATTTCTCTAAAAATCGGAAACCTTCTGCTGATTTCTGCTCGCCTGATTGTCTAGCTATAGTTTGAGCTAAGCTTGAAGCCAAGATTAATTTTCGTATAGAGTAACATGATTTTTCCAGTGCGTCCTTCTGTCCGTCCGTCCGTTGTTGTGGTTGTTGGGGCCAAAATTTGAGCGGTTATTTTCAGAAGTACCTGGCGAACAGAAATGAGTAGCATAATGATAAACGTAACATTTTATTTAAAAGAATCATGTTATTGCTCTGCTAAATATCACTAGGCTAATAGTAAAATGTTAATATACTGTTAACGAACAGTTTGCACCCTGTTGTTTAGCATAATCAACACTCTTAAATATCAGAGTGCTGTTGGTAAGTTTTTTTAGGCCGCCCTACTTCTCTTTTCTGTTCGCATGTTGCAGCCGATATCTGCAGAGATAATAGTAATAGTAATAGATAAGAAATTATCTTAACTAATAGGAATATTATTTGGAAAATCTAAAATAAAAAGGGTCTTGCCTCATGTCATCAGTTTAACAATGTTCAAGAGGTCCACTCAGAGCATTTTAAGGATGCAGCAAGCGTCTCTGCTAGAATTCATTTCACCCCAAATTGGATTTGAATATTAATGCCTTCATTATACTGTGGTCCATAAATCTCATATTTTTGCATTTCTGTAAACGAAATATCTACAGAAAATATCTAAGGAATATTGATACTATAAAGGACTTTCGTCCTTGATGTAGCATAAGGATAATCTGTACTTCTGACATAGTTACAGTTACAGTTAGAGTTTACGAAAATGTTACAGTTAGATATGCTTACTGTGAGGGCATATCAAATGCATATGGCTCTCTCTATTTTTAATAGCCATACCGGCTTACCTAGGAACAGTACTCAAAGTTATTTAAAAGTGGAAAATCCTTTGCAACTGGCAAAGTTTTAGTGTGAGTTCAACTGCACTTAAAATGCAGCCCAGCAATTATTAAGTTTGAAAGTCTCGAGCTCGTTGGACAATTAAGCAACAAATGCAAAGGATCATAACCATGAAAATAAAAGCAGCAGCCTCAAACCAGCCCTAGTTGTAATGGATAAGCTAAAAACGTCAAGCTAACAACATTACGGAATTGTTATGGCCATGACAAGACAAACACAAAACAGGAATTGCGTTAGCCACCTACCAGGTGCTGCATACATACATACAAACACATGTTGGCTAAGACCCTTCCCTCTTTCTCTTTGTCTTTTATGTGGGCTCTTGATAATTAACCTTTCTGTTGTAAATACCTCGGTGTGTGGGCGAATGTGTCAAATATGCTCACAACATATCCTTATTAACTTTAACATAAACCACATTTACTTCGGGTCGGATAATTGCATTTGACATTGACAACATGGAAGTGCACTCAATACAAGGCCTTAGCATATCATATTTTGACTAAATATGAATATTATAATTGGCTGATCAAATTATTAATCATCGAGTAAATTACTGTAGATACCCTGTACTTTTCACAGATTGCAAATCGGGCCATGATATGACAGTTTTTTGGATTGAAAGATGAATGAAATGGAAATGCAAATTTTAGATGATAAATATAGATTATATATTTATAGATTTTTTTTTAAATATTTTTTACTTTTATGAAAATCCTAGATTACCATATATATCTGTTGTAGGTCGAAATATACAGGGTATCTATTTATATTATTTATTATTGGTTAACAAAGTATTTCTCTGTTTACACAAAAGCATATCAGATTAACACAAATATAAGGCATACTCTGTAATTGCCCTAAGAGAATCTTAATATTTGCTCACTTGGCCGAGCTGGGCCCTGGAATACAATCCTACTTGTTGCCTGACAGCATTTATTAGACTTTCGAAAGCCTAAATCTCTAAAGAGTACCTGAATAATTTAAAAGAAATCACAAATGCAATTAAAATATGTTGCGCAGGTGCTCACACAGAGACCGCAGAGGTAAGTAGCAGTACAAAGAGAGAGAAAGAGAGAGGGAGAGAGGTCAGAAATGTGTTAAATACAACTTTTCTGCTGCTAATATCAAAAGTTTAATGAAGCTATTTAAATGTTATGTTACTCTCTCTCTCTCCCTCTCTCTCTCTCTATCTATCTATTTATCTCCCTCTCCCACACACACACGCTGTGACTTGCCGTTGTTGCTGTTGTTATTTTGTACTTTGTACTTAGCAAATATTTATGCAAATAATATGCAATTACTCACACGCACACACACGCACACAAACTCGCACGCATACACATATACATATTCGCGATGCTTGCTAAAAGCGCTCAGTAAACAACGAACTTTTTAACACACACACATGCAGCACAAATGTGTCAGACACGTACACATACTTAGACAGATAGACACAGGCGCACATAAACAGAAGCATTCACACACACACATACATTGAGCAACAACAAACAACTGTGCAAAGTGTGTGAAAGGCGCGTCTAAAATCGCGCTCAGCCCTGCGTATGCAAATGGCAAGCAGCACAACGCAGTTCACAATAAGACAATGCTTGACTTAAGCATACCCTGTAAGTGACCATAGCTATAAATGACAGTGATGCAAGTTAAAGGTACAGGATATACCATCATCATGATGCCCATAAGTTTTAGCACCTTTGCATCTCTACTTACAGGGTATGACAGTACCATGAAACTAAAACAGAACAGAACGACTTGCAACAATGCTTGGCTTCCGCTTTGTCATCAGCCTTCAGCGTCTGTTCACTTAAGTTCTTGAAGCAACAACAACAACAACGAGCAAGTTGTTGTCAGTTACAGATGAAAATACAACAGAAAAAACAACAAAAGCAAAAGAGCAACAAAGCTAGTCTAAAAACCAAGTCAGTACTTAAATTAACAATACATTTTACTAATTTTTATACCTTTAAAATATTGTCTTAAAAGTGACAACAATATTACTGAAAATATTATGATCACAGTTGAATGTACAATCATAAGCATAGTCCATATGTAAATATATGCTTATCTATTTTGTAATAACTCATGTAAAGCACAGACTTATAGTCTACAACTACTGGGCTGCGTTACGTAGAGCTAGACATAATTCAGGAGTTTCAACCAACACATTTCTGGCATCCAGGCAAGCGAGGCTCCTACAATTCATTTCACTTCCTCATAATTGGATTTGAATATTCATGCCTTCATTATTACACTGTGGGCCACAAATCTCATATTTTGGCTACGAATCTGTCATTTTTACAAACGAGACAGCACATCTCAAATTATCTAAGCAATACAAATTTGAAAATTTCGAATTTCCATCCTTGGTATATCATTAGGATTATCTCCAGCTCAAAGAACAGCCTTAGAATTTCGACTAGCATTCATCATGAACTACATCATTATTTTTAGAATTTAACAAAAAATTTCATGATCCATTCGTACATAAACAAGGGTATATATTTAGTTTATACATATGTACATATGCATTGATTTATATATGTATATATATTTTCGCTTAAATTTCGTACTACTTTTATTACCATAAATGTTCCATACTCATTTTATACATATATAAGGTGTAAGGTATAAGGTTTAAGGTAAGGTTTCTTTTTCTCTTAGTTATATAATGACGATTCTTCGATATTGTCGAACGATTATTTGCACACGCTGCACTACAAAAACATTGAGATATAAAAGCAGTTAGCATTGTTAAAATTTTAAATTACTTTTTTGTTGTAAATACTGCTTTACGTATAAATAAATGTCTGTATATATCTATATAAAATGGTGGGCAACTGGGTTATATGTTAGTCTGTTATTTGTCTAATTGTAAAGTCCTCAAAATCGTCCTGCGGTATGAGCCGTAATCTCATATCATTGGCCAAATGCAGCACAGCATACAGAGCCACCGAGGGCGACAGGGAATCTGACATTTTGGTGGTGAGCATAGCGGGCAGCTTTTCGTAGATCTCCTTAAAGGTGGCCATACCTTTGGCATAGTGCTCCTGTTTTCCTTTCGGATGTGCGGGTATCGCTTCCTCCTCCATTTCGGCAGTGCTCAATAATTGTTTTTGTATCAGCGAATTGCAGCTGCGCTTGAGATTCTTCATGTCAATCACCTTGGCACGTTTCGCAAACGGCACAATCACCTTGGTGACCTGATCAAGATGCAAATACGAGAGATTAGAAATGAATAAAATGATACGATGGGTAAGACAATATTCCGCGATTAAAATAATTTAAATCTGAAACCTTTGCATCACTCACCTGCGATGGTGCTCCCTGGAACTCAGTGGATATCTCAAGAACCGTATCATTGGCTTGAGTCCGATCATTACATGCGTTCGGGTCATCAGAGAGCCGGAACGAAGCTAGCGCAGGATCAGCGTTTGGGAAGCTGCTCACATTCATGTCATTGGGCAAACGATCCGAGCTCCGTTGGAACTCATCATTATCAAAGAGGTCAACATCATCGCCAGCATCGTCGCCGACCGCATTCATATCTCTGCCCATGACATCGTCATCATTGTCAATATCATCATCCGGAACGCCGAATCGACGGCTCACCTTAATGCTGGGAGCGTAATCATATTTATAAAAGTAATTCGCATCAAAATCATATTTGGTTGGCAGGCGCAATTTGCGTGGATCCCAGCGCTTTTGATAGTTCGCCTTGCGCAGCTTCGTGCTTTCATCCAGCTTGAACAGACTCTCGGTGCACTGGCCGAAGTTGATTTGCTTGCTGCGTCGCTTTGCTGCCTGTGCGGCTGCACGCCGTAGTCGTGCCGCAGCTGCATTGGTGCTTTTGCCCGTTACATTATCCTGTGAAGTGATTTGAGCAAATGTATTGGTGTTGCGTGTCCTTTTGAATTTCCAATGCGATGGCCCCGCCCAGAACTGAGAGATCTGATCCATGGGCCGGTACGAATACTCCAGCTTCGAGCTGCCGTCAACCGGTCGCAAATCCTCAATCAACACGGGCTGTTTGCGCAGGACCCGGCAATGCTGCAATGTTGTCCGCTCCTCCGTCGTCAACTCATCCATCTCGTTGTAGTCCATCTCCAATACGGTGGCTGCTGTCAACGCATTCAGATCTGGCATCGGCTCACACTCAGCATTAATGTCGAACGCCATCGAGAGCTCACGAGGATTCTCATAGAAATCATCTGCATTATCCACACCATCGTCGTCATCTTTTATCTGCATCGGATCGTTGGCATTGCTCGGATTGGGCACATCGCTAATAATATAGCCAGTGTGCAGCGGTCGCAGAACCAGATGCTGCTGATAGTAGCGTCGCATCTTATTAACCCACTCGGCGGCTATTATCGTATGGGTGTTCTTATCATCATTATTAACTAAAGTGTAATCCTCTATCTTCTCTTCCATATTTGGATTTTGCCAAAAGCGATAATTTGTGCGCAATCGCAGCTCAGAGTCTTTCGTGGGCAATATGTTGTTCATTAATCGATTGGAGGCATTAATGGAGCCCACAGTAGAGTTCAGTTTGCCAAATACTGGATCCTGCAAAGGAGCAGTATCCAGACGCGCATTTAATGTCTCTTTATTCTTGGTTATTGTGGAAACTGCTTTGCGTTTACGTTTCTTGGCCTTCGGCGCCGCTGTCTCAGAAGCATCAATAACACCGTCACCTCCACCTTCAACCTGGCCGACATTCGCACTATCGTCGTTATCATCCGCGGCAGCTGCATTCAGTTGCTGCTGTGTGAGCGTGCGTGCATTGAGGCCAGCTGACATACGCATCGCATCCAAATATATCGAGTCTACGCGCAATCCATACACCTTTGAGGAGGCCTCCAATGATGAACCAGCTATCTGAAATATGAATAACAATCAACAATTAGAATTGCGCGCAACAATGAGCTGCAGCGCTTACCTTAAAGTTGCTGAGCGTTTTGTGATGATGATCCAGCAAGTTGGACAACGTATCGATCAACGACAAGCTCCAGGCATTCTCCCGGCTCAGCTTATTGCCATTATATATCTCCAGGCACTTCTTTATCGTCTCATTCTCCTCGATGGACTCCAGGATGGTGCTCTCACGGGGTCGCGTTTGCTGCAGCAGCAGCGTGCGGCGTCGCGCCTCGCGACGTTCCGCCTCATCGTCGTTTACCATAGTCGTCCGATCCTGCAGCATACTCTCGCGATGGCTACCGACCGCGGAACGACGCAATGGCGTCTCGGAACGCGGTAACGTCATGATCTGAGTTAGCCCAAAACGGGAAACTAGTTTTGTTTACAATCAAGATTGGTTGGCCGCTATTCAATGCAGCACCAAACAATAAGACAGCTCTGCGCGTTCACAATAGATCACTATTTGACAAATATCACTTAATTATTGCTTGTTTCTGTATTATTCAGTTTTCTTTTATGCCTCTCATTTGGGCATTACGCTTGTGTTGGTAATAGTTTACAGTTGCTTTCAAACGACGCCGCAATCTAGGGCTACGCCAATTTATCGATATTTTAGTGTTGATAAACAACGTAAAAATTACGAATGCAGTATTTTTCATATCGGTCACATACTACATGAGGGGAAATAATACTTTTAAAACTTTGCGGCAAAATCAATATATTTCTTGGCAATATAAAGGTAAATTGCAAGGCAATTATTTCGCTTCTTTTAACCTAAGTTCATAGAGTATGGAGTGCTTATATTGTTTTGATTCCTTACGTGGGTTTTTTGGAATATTCCATGTGTGATATTATTGTATCTTTTACTAAATACACACAATGAGTAGGATTAGCGATTGAAGTTGACGATCGTGCTCGGCGTGAGCTATCTCAACAAATTCAGACAGCAATCGATTAATTATTCCGATTTTTGTATTTTTAAGTTGGCGCATTACTTTTATTTATTATTTAAAACACTTAAAAATATAGCTACATACATATATTTCACATTATATTATTTATAATTATGATAATTAAAAAATAAAATTATTTATAATTATTTATTTTTATTTTTTAATCACCATATTTATAAATAATAACCCTTTAGCATGACCAACACATTGGAACTCATTGCTGATAAGAAATTACTATTAAGCATATCGTAAATAAATGACTAACGCCTGACGGCTGATTGGCTGTAAGCAAATCGCACATTCGTCAATATCTATAATATTCATGAATTATCACATACAACACAGAAAAAAACAATATTTTATTGCTGTAAACAAAGAAAGTGAAGCCAATGAAAGTGAATGATGGCGGGCCTCGATACAAACGACAAAAATGCAAAATCTTAGTATTTATTATTTGTTTATTAAATTAGATTTCAATGAGGTTTTTACATTTTTCGATTATATTTATATTTTATTGTATTTTGGCGGGGATTTCAATGCAAAGAATATCCAGATTGTTTTGATCCTGAAGCTCCCATTTGACAAGCACTGAGACCTTTGGATAGCTGTTTAACACTGAGAGCGTGGCCGTATAGCGATAGGATTCATTTTTTTCTAACGGACATGTGAGGCCACTGTTGACACATGCATTCGGATTGCTGAGAGGAAATGGGATTTCAATACCCAACACTTTGCCATGGACAACAGTTATAACGGATGTAGCCTTTTCGGACAATGTAAAGTCGATTGATATTGATACATTGGTATTTCGATGGAGAATGCACTCTGCCTTTGTCGTATCACAGCCTTCGATGGTGACTTGAGTGAACTTGCCCGTCTTTGATCCACAATCTTTAAATTCTAGACCTGCGCCCAGCTGCAGCACCAAAAGCAGCGACGAGATAAGCACGCACAACTTAAACATGACGTATATTTTTATTAATTAAATTAATAGCTTTAGTGATAACACGCTTCGCATGTTTTCTCGCGACAGTGTCTTAACTACAACTGGAAAAAGTTTAAAAAGCGACTCAAGCAAAAGCCAAAATCAGCTGCGCGCCTCATAGGAATGGAGCTTTGTTATCGATAAGCATTCGGGACGGAAAAGCGCGCTACTGTTAACTTAACATAATTCTAATTTGAACTATAATATTCTAATTCGAATTGTCAATGTTGCTTTGAACATGTAAATCATAAAATGCATTTTCCGGAATTTTTACAACTCAAATATATATAATTTTGAGTACATTTTACTATGTAGTAAAACATATGTTTGTTCGCGCGATGGTTGTTTTGCTTTTGCGCATCACTAGCTGAAAGCTTATGTTAATGATTCCAGTTGGCAAAATTTGGTTAGATTCACTTTAGCCGCGGTGAGTGCAACATTTGGGCCGCATTTACGTTAATTTTATTTAATTACCATTTAGTAATTTTAAAATCATGTCGCAAATTTGTAAACGAAGCCTGTTGACTGCAAACCGCATCGCTATCAATGCACCAGCAGTTTTACGTTGCAAGTAAGTCTTAATTTCAGTTTTATTCACTGTTGAAGGCAGTTTTTTTCGCTGCACTATGTAACACGTCGCAGTGCACTGCAGTGTCATTTGTCAAGGTCATTTTGTAAATGCCGGTCTATTTGTGCTCCATGCATGCGTGAGAATAAGGTTGTGTTATGTGTGTGTATATATATTTATACATGTGTGTGTGTATGCGCCTGGCTGGATAATTTAGTGTTTGTTGTGCTTGAGACTTTTTATTATGTGAGCATATGTATTATGGATGATATATAGACATACATACATATGCATATATGTATGTATTTTTATCCAGTTCGTTGATTAGAACAACAAAATACTCCACAATCTGTTCATGCATACTTATGTACTCATATTTATATATGTACATACATATATATCTGTATTTATGTGTGACATGTTTATTATCTGATTGTGCACATGTGTAACATCTATGAGACTGCATATGCATGTCAAGTGTTAATTATTTCCTTATTTCATATATTATTCCTTAAATTACTTGCATACATATGTATGTAAACTATTACAGTTACATATATGTACCCATAATATATAGCTACGGCTGCCACATGTACATTTGTACACTTTGTTTGTGTACCATAATGGTACGATTCTCTCTCGAATCAAATTTGGTACATTTGAGATTGGTCCCTTTGGTACTTTTACTTCGAAACAATGTGCTGACGTTTTTGTCATATTTTTAGCACATCTTTCAATGCGATAATTATTTATTTCCGATCACATACTGCTGTTAGATTTGTTATTTGTGTATAAATTACGCTTTTGACATAACAATCGTGTTATTCTCGAGTAAAGCTATACATATCTATTGCAGTAATTGCGAATTAATCAATAATTGATCCATATTTGCTTACATTGTTATGAAAATAATGAATTTTATAAGTTAAAAGTAATATTGACTTTTCTATTCCGGAAACTGCTAAAACCAAAAGTAATATCAACTTTCAGCTTTGAAGTCCACATGCAATTTAATTAAAATTTAAAATAGATAAAGTATATATGCAGCTTTCTATATATTTATCTAAGAGAAAAGAAGAAGAAAAAGTGATGGAAAATTTGTTTAGTAATCGCTTTTCTCTATCTCTCATTAATCTGAGTGGGTTGGACGTCATAACGCTTGTTTACAGCTATACGCGATAAGCGTGTGAGGGAACCAACCACGAGGACAAATAATACAAATAACGCCAGTGTGCATCCGAGGTTCGAAAGGTCACAAATATTAAGCGATATTTGACTTTGAAACGTAACCACTCCAAAGGTATCATTAATCTCTTTTCCTTTGTAGTTAAGTGGACTAAGATAACTATTTGCATTCTTTGATAAGGTAAACGTCCGTTCTATCAAAGTGAAGAGTACAAAAAAGTAACCCAAGGGCAATGAACAATCAACCAAAATAAAATATAATTTTAATCATAAGCAATTATCTTCACGAGGGCTACAGATTATTGATTTATTAACAAATACCAGACGAAACTCGTATTGTTAATAAATTTTACAAGATTTGAAATTAAATGTCGTCAATCTATCAAAATTTATAATTCAATTCCAGTTAGGGTTTTGGATAGAGAATTTTCATGCGCTTTGTATTTTTGAAAAATTCGGTACCTAAAACTTTCAGATCCACATGGTTTTCCGAGGTACAAATGGGTCCACCCGACGCCATATTGGGCGTCACAGAGGCCTTCAAGAAGGACACAAATCCAAAAAAGATTAACCTTGGTGCCGGCGCCTATCGTGACGACAATACGAAGCCATTTGTGCTTCCCAGTGTGCGTGAGGTAAGTGTGCGAGTCTCTAAATCAATTGATCTTACTAATCTATGCTCTATGCCAGGCCGAGAAGCGTATAATCGGTCGTACACTGGACAAGGAATATGCCACAATCATTGGCCTGCCCGAGTTCTACAACAAGGCCATTGAGTTGGCTCTCGGCGAACAGTCGAGCCGACTGAAGGCCAAGCACAATGCCACAGCGCAGGCGATCAGCGGCACTGGAGCGTTGCGTGTGGGCGGCGCATTTTTGAGCAAGTTCTGGAAGGGAAACCGCGAGATTTATTTGCCCACACCGTCGTGGGGCAATCATGTGCCCATTTTCGAGCATTCCGGTCTGCCAGTCAAGCGTTATCGCTACTACAACCCAAAGAATTGCAATCTGGACTTTGCCGGCATGGTTGAGGACCTGAAGGTGAGGATTGAAAAGCAAAAAATTTGCTAATTTACTAAAAACTCTCTTTCTCCTGGCAGAATATTCCTGAAAAATCGATTGTGCTGCTGCACGCCTGTGCTCATAATCCAACGGGCGTCGATCCCAACACCGAGCAGTGGCGTGAGCTGTCGCAGCTGTTCAAGCAGCGCAAACTTTATCCATTCTTCGACATGGCCTATCAGGGCTTTGCAACCGGCAATGTCGATGGCGATGCCCAGGCCGTGCGCATCTTCGAGGCTGATGGCCATGATTTTTGCCTAGCGCAAAGCTTCGCCAAGAACATGGGCCTGTACGGCGAGCGAGCTGGTGCCTATACGGTAATTTGTGCCGACGAGGATGAGGCAGCTCGCTGTTTGTCACAGATTAAGATACTGATTCGCGCTCTCTACTCCAATCCCCCAATTCATGGTGCGCGCATCGCCGCCGAGATCCTCAACAATGGCGATCTGCGTAGCCAATGGCTGAAGGATGTGAAGACCATGGCTGATCGCATCATCAATGTGCGCGCACAGCTGAAGAGCAATCTGGAGAAGCTAGGCTCATCGCGCAACTGGCAGCATATTGTCGATCAGATTGGAATGTTCTGCTTCAGTGGACTCACACCCGAGCAAGTGGACAGTCTGATGAAGAACTACAGCGTGTACCTGACCAGAGATGGCCGTATTTCTATGGCTGGTGTGACTAGCAAGAATGTTGAGTACCTGGCCGACAGCATCCACAAGGTGACCAAATAGATTCTATCAATGGCTGGAGCCTCACACGTATCTGCGCCTGTACGCATTTATAGGAATTGTATGCAGCTAAGAATAAGTTAAACAGATAATTGCCTTTCACCAATCCGATCTTGTACATAAGCTAAATCGTCTGCCGTTCAAATAAAGCATTCTAGCATTTTATAGTTAACAGCTGTTATTAATATGTATGTATATATAATGTGATATGCATTCGTGTCTAGTTTCATAGATAACCTGTGTAGCAACTGGAAGTATGAATCTGGGCCTAGCATGTGCTATATATAGATAGTTTATAATAATATTCTAATAATAATATATGAGGTCTCAAAGAAAGACAAATGACATTCATCGATAGCGAATCGACTATACATCATTATTGATATATGAACAATTATAGTCTGTATTCTATGATCTATTTTCAAAGTACAAATCAATTGTATTCTTAAGGAAGGGCTAGTTTTATTCAAACACAGTTGTACCCAGTTGTCATTTTGTTAGTTTAATGAGCGTAACAATTAGTTTGTTTATAGCGTCACTATGGGTAATTACAAAAAGAGCTAGTTTATATCCAATTGTTGAAATGTACATACAATTCTTACATTAGCTTGCAAATAATACTATACATTTTGATAAACACCGTTTTATCTTTAATTTAACTAATATTATACATATTACATTGTTTACTTACCACCATAGCTAGATCAAATTCTATAATAGTTTCGTTGAAGATTTCTGCCATTTGGTTTCAAAGTTGTTTCTATTAGCAGCTTCTCTCTGACTAATTTGATTACAAGGTTTTGTTTTTCTATTTATTTTGTTGTATATGTATATATATGTAAGTATATATATATATAACTAGAATCACGGTTTGTTATAACGATATCTTAACTTATCGCTTGGCTCACAGTACTCCTTGATAATTAGCTTACATAGGAATATATGAAATACTACGATTATTGCACAGACTGAGACCCAGAAGAGTGCGGGCAGCCCACCCAATTGATGGCCATGTTTATGCAGCGCTATGAGATGCTGTTCGTGCGCCGGAGCTGAAGATAAGAGTTGTAATTAAAACAAACAAACGTAGATATTTATAGAGACAGATAAGCCTACCTTCCACGACTTCCTTAACATGTATGGCATGATGAATTTCTTCCATGTGTTGCTTATCCTCAGTTATATATAATATTGCAGTTAATGGTTCAGTCAATTTCACAGGAAATTCTCGACGATTTTGGCTGTTGAAGAAAAATGAACATTAATTATTATAATTGAAATTATGGGATATACTCTATTCTCTACTTACGTTAGTAGGATTGGCTCATCCAGACAACCGCCATCGCATGCATAGTAACTGCGATCGGAACGATCCAGGGCCACATAGATAACTGCCTTGTTGTCATCCTTAACAATGATTGTCACATTGACATGCGTTTTATTGCCATAGTTGAGGCGCCTGAAGTGAAAGTCACGATGCAAGAATTTCGGATGCATATTACATTCCAAATGTTGGTTGCTAAAACGAAAACTACCGAAGCTCAGAGTCATAGCCTGAATGACGCCCGACGCGCCAGCACGTATCAAATTGTGGCAGCCTTGCTTCTCCAACGTAAGCATCCAAGAGGACACCAGGGAATTAAGTTGATTCAGCGTGGACATATCACGCCAAAGATTCTCCGCCTGAAGCGTATGATAGCTGTCGTAGCAACCCTCGGCGTATGTCAACGCCTTGGCAATTTCCTCTCGTTTTCCCGCAGAAGACGAGCTCCCGAACAAGCCGGAAGACGTGTCTTCAAATTCAAAGCTGCGAACTTGAGACAGAACGGCATACATGGTGGCATTAATTCTATCGCCATTTAAGCTATTCTCAGCCTTTGAGGTGCTTATCGTGAAGCCCGTCGCCCACAGATCCGTCCAGACGTTAATATGTTCCTGGCGATACGTGTTGATACTGTTAACCGAACCGGAACCAGATGTCTTGGCGCTGAGCCTCTGTAGCAGTTTTGTCATGGCCTGAATCGAATGTAGTTCGATGTTATCGATGGTCGCTTTCAATTGAGTTTCTGTCACGGGTTTCGAGTACTCTATAATCATTGGATAGATTATTTGTACTGTGCCACGTTTACGCAACTGTAATTTAGTTTCCAGTTGCGGCTTTGTGATGCTAACGACGACCAATTTGCTCGGATCATCTTGCGAAGGTTGCACAGTGCCCGAAATAACTTCCAATGCACTATATGTGAGCATTCCAATTTGTACTGGATCGCTACAATAGACGGTTGTTGAAGATATATGTACATACATAATTTATTCCGTGTAAGTTTCTCTGACTTACCTCAGCGGAATGCTGCGCGTAGATGACTTGGGCAAACGATTGCGAGGCATTATTAGATCAATGCTCTCAACTGTATTACGTGTATTGGTAATTTGCAGCTCTTGCATAAGAACGTTGGGCTGTGTGCGATGCGCATACAGTGTGTAGGAGGCAAAGTAGCCAGAGAAACATTGAAATCTGTGCACCATTCCCGTCAAATACTCAACAACCGTTGCTTCTTTCTCGCCCGCATTGCCACCATTCTGTGTGACGGACAATAATGGATAGAAGCGTATGGGTAGCTGCATGGCGCGTCCATGTTTTATATTCAGTGACGCACCATGCGACACCTCCATGCCAATATAACCGTTACCGACATAGGGCGTGTAGTCTCTCTCGCCCGGCATTAATGGAGCCACGTGACGTATGTTTGCATCGTATTCGTAGTTCTGCAAGATGTAGGGCGTTAGGCGGTCGTCCATGCACATACTGTGTGGATCTAAGACACGTACAATAAACAAAGACATATTAATTGATGATGGTATGAAGCGCGATAGATACGTTACCTTTTTGCTCTGTTGGGCTTAAAAATAGATAACGAAATATGGGTGGCAGCATATAAAAAACTATGCATACGCACAATAAAAGCAAAAACAAACGCCGGTATGACGATAGAGTGCCCTCAACTAGACGCTTCAGTCTCCGCACAATATCCACGGTCTCGAATTTGTTTTTGGCTGATCGTATAAACATATTGATTGCGTTATAAACATTTATTTCGCATTGGAAAAAATTTTTTCAAAATGCTACTGATTGGCCACAAGTTGTGGCCAAACTCACAAATTTATCTTTCTTCTAATATCAAATCGATACATCGATATAAAAAACATCGTCAATGTAATAGAAGTAGTGGCATTCCAAAGCCTTCACGACTTTCAAATTCGTGTATTTATATACATTTATTTTTACTATATAAGTCTTTATTTTTTTTATCATTGTCTTCCGGATAATAATATGATGAGAATTTTCTTCGAGGGCCTAAGTATTTTTCGTGCTTAGATCCTGTCAACTGAACAAGATTTCGACAAATTCCAATTAGAATATTGTTATAACATGAATTGCCCGCGCATTTTTAATATTGGCAATCTAATAAATCAAGAACACTTAAATAAGGCAATATATTAGGCCTAATTCATTCTTTATTTACACAGTCAAGTAAATTAAATTTAAATAAATCAGTTGAATAAATTTCAAAAATTCGATGAACTTTGCTTTTCCTCATATTCATCGATCGTGTAGAAACTAAATACATAATATCGATATTGTAATATCCATCTTTATATTGATATTCATTGCGCAAAGCAATGTCTAACAAGCTAGACTTATCCAAGTCTTCTTTTAAAACATGTTAAAAAAAAGACATCTTTTAATTCCATTGGCTTGTTTGGTATTGTTCATATTTATAAAATATACGATAGAATTTGGAAATGATCTTAATGACCAATCTCCAATCGAATGTTTGTTTTGTAACATTGCCCACGGTAAAATAACGCCACCAAAACTAGAATTTGAAAACGACGAATATGTTATTTTCAAGGACAAAAACCCAGCTGCCACTTATCACTATTTGGCAATACCCAAGCAACATTTTGACAGTCTGAAAGTGCTCAATGAATCCCACGTGGGCTTAGGTAAGTAAAGGTGAGGTAATTAACATATTTTAAATATGTCTTGTCTGTTTACTATGCAGTTGAACGCATGAAGAATGGTATGATCCGTTTTCTTGAATCAAAAAATGTGAGTATAGAAAATGCAGTGATTGGCTTTCATATTCCGCCGTTTATATCGCAAAAGCATTTGCATCTACATGGAATTTCTCCCAAATCTGAAATGGACTTATCCAATCGCATAAACTTCTTCATACCATCGTTTTGGTTCAAATCTGTGAGTAGATGAAAATAGATACCATTTGTATAGTAAACAAACGAAATTATATTTAGGCCGACGATGCAATAGAATCTTTAAAACACGCGGACCTCTAGTCATGAGAGCCAGGAGAGACTTGAATCCTTAAAAGGCATGTATCTGTAATTATGACAAGGAAGCTTGCGTCCAATTATGAACGGCATACATTCGTTGCTCATTGTTCAAGTTTCTCAAACATTCCATTAAGTTAGGCGTTACTGTGTGGATACATTTTTAAAAAATGTGTTAAGAATTAATAATAAAAATCCTTTGCAACACAAAATACCAACGGCAAGTTTTATATCAGCATCTAAAAGGATCTCATAGCAGCAAACCTCATTCCATTGGCAAATGTAGGAGTGGATCTCTTAGCAATTATCCTGCATTTTCATTAAAGAAATGTATATGGAAATTGAAATGTATCTTAAATTTTTATGTCGTGGCACCTGTCAAACAGGGAAAACGTAATTTTGTTGGCAACGGAGTGCCATGGCAACGTGTATCGATAGTTGGCGCATCTGCCTACCGATAAGTATGAAAGTGTTGTTACACATTATATCGATAGTGGAATCGATTGCTTTGCAACACTAAAAATCAGCACCAGCAAACGCTGAATTTTAGTTTGTTTTAGTTACAAGATTCGCGAAAACCTTTTGGGAAAATTGCTAAATTAAGTTGCAAATTAACGGATTGGAGCACTTCAAACGTAGTGCGTTCGAAACAATGCGCAGCATGTGGCCGCAAACGCTGGAAATGTCCCGCGACGAATGTCGGGGCATGCTGCGTCGACTTGGTAGGTGATATTCTGCTGCTGCTGCCGCCACCGCCAGGAGGAAGCACTTTATGTTATACAGCACCAGCAGCAGCAGCAGCTCAGCTTTCGTGGATCACGATTTTTGTTTGCTAATTGCTGCCCGTTTTGTTTGTATCGTTCATGTAGAGTTAGAATCGTATTCGCACGTAATAAGCGTTTTTCGCGCCCAAGGCTCGCTAAGCGAACCGAAAGCCAAGCTGCTCGAGGAGTTACGCCAACTGTTTCACATAACCCAGGAACGTCATCGGGCGGAGGTGCGCCGCGCTGCTAACGATGAACAATTATGCACAATTGCCGAGAAGTAAGCAATTGTAAAATGTTAAATCAGCGTGCATATTTTACATAGATATATATATATTTAATTGTATCACCACAAACATTTTTAGCGTCTGCGGTCCGAACACATGGCAGGAATGGTCACGTGAAGGTCGTCGCCCATATCCGCTGCTGCCACGAATTAGTCCGCAAACTGCCCTGAGCATTGTGGCCAACGATCTGGCTGCCAAGGCATATGCGGAAAACAGCAAACTTCCGCCACCAAATGAAACTGGGGCAAATCTAAGTGAAGCGCTACGAGAACAGTCGGCTTATCAGACCCTTAAGCATGGCATAACAAAACATCAGGAGCCAATCGTGGTCATGGATGAGCCGGTGAGTGTGCCAGCATTATATAACTTGATCAGGGGCTATATACATAAGTATTTACTTGTGCTGCTATTGCCTCGTACATATGTATGTGCGAATATGTATGAGCAGAGAAAGTACAGTCTGCGCCTGGGTCTCACTTGGTCTACTGTGGTGGGCAGCAAGTTAAAGCCAACCTAAGGTAAATTCAAGTCTGGCGCAGGGTCTTCGCTTGTAGTCTGAAAGATCTACCTATACAAGATTTAATTTACTATTAACTTATTTACTTTTGTAACCCAAAAGTTCCGATTCCAATGTAGCCGCTTAGTAAGGTTAATGCATAATTGATTCCATCTGCCAATCTCAACTGGTAAAGGACATTCCTTTATCTATCTACTCCATTCGCCAAATGCTGGTGCCAAATGTTGCTTGTCGCACGGTTGTGTATTTAATTTTTATTTAATTCAACTCTGCATCGGAAGTTAACAGCCGCTGCCAGTTAACAGCGTTAGTAAACTGTTAACTTACATTTTAACATGCAGCTGATTGCTAGTGGCTAAATGTTACAATCGATAAGAAATCAATATTGATCGATTTATTTAAATAAAAAACTCGAATTACGAAATTTAAAAAATATTTAAAATATCTAAATTTGAAGGTGATTATATTGAATTTTTAATTATGTATTCAATACGATTACTTTCGAAATTAAAAACAGTATGCAAAAAATGTTTTGCGTGCCATTTATAAATATATATTTTGCAAATTTAATTTAATTTTTATTTCTTATATTAAAATATATAATTTAGACTTCTAATGCATTCACTATTCACTATTCCCATTCATTTTATCATTCTAGTTTAAGGTGCCCGACTTGCCCAACGAAATAAAAAAGGCCACTCTAAAGCGCAAGGAAAATGAGAGCAGCGACACAAAACCGAATAAGAAACGCAATACACAACAGGATAGACAGATGGCACAGCTACAGCAGCTGCCATCCCAGCTAAGTGGGGGCAAGGATGAGGATGGGCAACTGGTGCCGTTGGAGCAGCGTCCCAGTGCCCGTACACTGCAGCAAAGATACTTCTATCAGCAGCAACAGAAACACAAACAACGATTGGCAAGCAAAAAGGGCAGCGGGAATCCGTTGGCCAACAATAGCAATGCTTCCGGTGTCGGCATCAATACGAAGCCGGCTAAGAGCGGCCGGCGGAGAGCACAAAAACAGCTACAACAGCAAATGCAACAGCAGAAGCAACTTCAGCAACAGCAGGAACTACAACAGGAACAGCAACAGCAACATCAGCAGCAGCAGCAACAACAACAGCAACAGCAGCAGCAGCAACAACAACAGCAAGAAAAAGTATTACAATCCACGCCTCTGACAACGACAGAGCTAACAGCGCATCCAAATGCCAATCATTTGGTGCAGCCGCATGTGGAATACATTTTAGACGAGGCGCTCAAATCGGTTGCGGCTACCAAATTAAAAACGATACCTGCCGCTCGCGTTGTCTATGGACCGCCGGAGATGCTCTCGCCGACGACGCCGCGCACGTTTGTTAATTCGCCCATTGTTTTCAAAGAGAAATTATCGCCGACGACGCAGACGATTCAGCCGCCACAATTGAGCACACCTGTCAAGAAATACATTGTAGAAGAACGCCAGCAGCCTGGCGGCACGCAGCCAGCGTCCGCAAATATCTCAACGGCTAACTTGCCGCTCGCGCCACAGATTATAAGCGTTCAACAAATAGCAGCCCCACCGAAAGTACGGACCACAGCAAGCGGCACCATTTTGCCAGCTGGCACCAAGCTGACGCCGAAGAAGATCAATCTGATCGACAAGCAGCAGTTGCCTTCCGTGCCCAACACAGCCGTACGTCTCTTGCCCTATGAGCAGCAATCGGCTGCCAGTCCAGCGACGTCCAACAATCTCGGCAGCAGCAAGGCTCCAGCCACAGCTGCAGTGCAAAAATACATTGTCGAGGAGCGAGTGCCCAGCCAGACTGTGGCTAGCGTGGCGAGCACACCGTTGAGCAGCGCCTCGGCTGTGAATATTATAAAGAATATACCAGCGAGCAGCTTGAACAACACGCTCATCACGCCCTTAAGCAGCTCCTCGGGGTCGCCTGTGGGGCCGCTATTCCGCAAGGCGACGGCGACAGCAACAAGCACGGCGGCGACGTCGGTTGCGGCAGCTGGCAGCAGCAGTGGTGCAGTGGCATCGACCTCACAGATATTGGGCAACATAAAGCTGACCAGCGCCAGCGGCATCAAGCATGTGCCTAGCAGCGCGCTGCGCAACATCAAGATCTGCTCGCCCAACGGCAAACTGTTCCTGCAACCGGCTAAGCTACATACGGGCAGCATCATACACAAGCTGAATCCATCAAACGTTGCCGCTGGCGGTGCTGGTGTTACTGTCAGCAGTGCTGCTGTCTCGCCCACTGGCGTCGGTACGCCCTCCTCGCCGCAGTCTTCGCAGCAGCGAATAACGATACAGAAAATGCAGCTACTAACGCCCACTCAAGTGATCTCGAGTTCCGCGGGCGGCTCGAGCAACGTCAGTGTCGTCTCCACGTCCAGCATGGCGAGCAGCGGCACCAAGGTTAAGCCCACAACATTGACGCTCGGTCCGGCAGGGGTTGGCAAGAATAATTTGGTGTTTCTGCCAACGAGTGGAATGCGAGCAGTCACACTGGCCTCCAGCAAACCCAAGCCCAGCGGCGAGCTACTGGCGGCCAAGCCCAATGTCCTTGTGATTGGTCCCTCAACTTCTGTCAATGCGACTAACAATTCACAGGCAACGGGAACGGCAACTGGAACGGGAACGGGCACGGGTGCAAGCACAGGCACGGCAGCGGCTTCGGCTGCAGCTGCGACGTCATCTGCATTGGCAAAGCCAAAGGCGAATCAGCTGATTACGGAAGATACGCCTATAGATATCATTAATATGCCCATCATTGTGGCAGACAATGGCGCGCCAGAGACGAAGACGTCGGCCAAATCGGCGCCAATGATGGTCCTCAATGCCACGGACTGGGAGATGGAGCTGGATCAGGCATCCAAAGCGGCAGCTGCTATGAATGCAACAGGCACAGCATCATCATCAGCAACAACGATTGCGAATGATACAAAGAGCAACAAGCAGCAGTTGGACGATGTCATTGTAGAGGATGCAGCCGGGGAGGACACAGAAAATGCAAACTCCCAGATAAAAGATCGCAGTAAGTAATATGACGTATTCAGATGAACCCACTTGAATTCATCAATATCTATTTAGCCACAGAAATGCACGACGAAGGGGACAGTGCCATTGAGTATGTGGACATGGAGCTAGAGCAGCCTATTGAGATTGAGTGTACCAGCAACATATCGCCAGAGACAATGACGACGACCACCAGCACGACCCCATCTCTGAAAGCAACTATAATGCCAGCCCTGGCGGAAGATGAGAAAAAGCTGGAGCAGCCGGCAACAGGAGAACAGGGAACAGGGCCAGCAGCTGTAACGACAACAACGATCCTGGCAAAGACATCGACGCTGCCATAGGTAGTCCGATGTGTTCTGTTTATTTTGTTATGGTTGCTTCATTTACGCACAAACAGACATATATACAAACACTCACACACCCATACACTAACACACACACACACATAATGCCCGGTTTAATTAGGATTCAGTTATTAGTTTAGTGGACCCAAGTTCTTTAAGCAAAGTGCAACATTATAATTACTTGTAAATGTACTTGAAAAATATTTGTAAAAAAAAAAACGAAAGAGGAAAAACAGAAAAAGCTTGAATATCGATTATATAATTTAAAACAAAGTCGAATTTTCGAATCTTGTTTTAAATTATTTAAACTTCTCCAAGCTGCCACCATCGAAATATCATAAAATATTTGTATACATTGTAAATAGCATATTTCTCATTTAGTGTTTAGCCCCTCGATAAGTTCATTACATAATTGAAAACACGAAAAGAAACTGAGAACAGAAACATCAAATCATAATAAGTAAAATGTGTGTTTTAATGAGATTATAATTTTAGTTTATATATGGCCGATCTAAATGCAAAATGTAAATATTTAAGTGAAAACCAGAAAACAAACAATATTGAAGAATTTTCAAAATGCTACAAGCCATATAAATTCATGTATATGTATCGTGTAAAGAGCAGATTAGAGATTAGTTACAAGGACAAAAGTTTAAGATAGAAAAAGATGAAACAAGTAATCCTACACACTCATACACACAGGAACACACTCACACGCATAAATATATATATATATATATACATAGACATTTATAACAATGTACGAACAGTTTAGTTTTTAAGTATTTTATGCATCGATTTTGTAAATCTAAAAAAAAAAAAAAAAAACGTAAACAGTGTAGTTATTAGATAAAAAAGAAAAGGAAAAAAAAAAAAAAAACGCAATCGAAGCGAAACCACCACAAAACGGTAAAACAAAATGTAATTATACAAATATTGTTGAACAATGCGTGCAGCTGTAAAATTTTTAACATAGAAATTTTAAATGAAATAAATATAAATGTAAGCATAAAGCAAATCTTTCAATTCATCTGAAACCGATGAGGGAATTCCAGGTATAATCTATCTGATATTAGACAATATTTGCTTTGGTTTTGTCAATCTAATTGATAACTACAAAGCCTAGGTTTATTTATCGGGGCAATAAGTTTAAGTAGACTTAACTGAATATGCCTGTGCATAGAGATGAGGAACCAGATCTTTCTAGAATCATAAAAGGCAACATGAGCTATGACTCGGATATGGTCTGAATAAATTCAGCTGCTCTGGAGACTACGAAGAGGTCTAGTTCTTTCTTACACTTATACCAATTAATTAGTCTATGCTCTTAAGATATATAATTTAGTTTAGTTCAAGCTTCAATGAAAATAAGTTTTCAGAAAAAAATATTTTTAGAAATTAAATGCATAAGATAATAAATAATCCGCGAGATATAGCGTACATATATGAAGACGCCAACTTGCTGACGAATCCACAGCGTTATAAACTATTCAAAAGATATCATTTACAAGTTTTATCAAAGCTCGTTTTCGGGTGGGTGGATAATTCATTCCATTAATAATGCAAGCATCCATTTATTTACAACAAAATAAGATATTAACTAATCTCTATACGCGTCCAGCGTATTGTTACCTGATCAAGAAAAAGTTGTATTTCTGTTATATAAATGATTAAGAATTTGAGGTGTATCAAAAATAAATGGCTCCAAAAGGAATACAATTTGTACCGTCAATAGATAAAATGAATCTCAATTATCTCAATTATGAACAAACCAGATAATTCAAATATATTCATAATTTTGTTATCTTTTGTGTATATTTGTATACCATACCGCTCCTTAACACGATGATGTGCACTCAATTAAAAGATGCAAAACTCAAGGTGAAGTATAGGATGAGTTTTGACAGGGATTGATCGAGCTTTTACTTTTTTAGTGTATAGATCATTTGTATAGATCGATAGAAAGATAGTATGTTAACTAAACTTATGAATAGAGGTTTCAGTTGCGTCCCAAGGCTGTGCCATGACCCCAGGCTGAGTTGGCCGCTTGACGTGGAGGTGCTCTGCTCTCCGGTGGAATACCAAAGCCACTAATGCCGCCAGATACGTCCGGAGCAATACGTTTTCTGCAACAAAAGGAAATTGTATTAAATTCAATTCCAGTAGTAATTAAAATATATATAAAATGCAATTATTAATAGCAAAGTACAATTAAGATGGGGAGCTGCCCATGCCATTGTATCACTTTTGGTTTGCCTATTTTATGTATGAGTTCCTTGAAGTGTGTATGTGTGCGTGTTATGCGGATGCCGAAAAATAAGTAGCTCGCCAACTCTTTAATACTCGTTACAAAGCTTTAAATGATGCAATACTCTTTTTCTCTTAGCAATTCCCAAGCCGCAGGTGCGTAGGAGAGCAATGAGTCGGCAAAATAAAATCGTGTCTTGTGTAAACTGATAAGAGCATCGGACCTCTCACTCGATCGTACTACGCGCTATACGACCAAGAGGCTCGCTCTCTCGTGCGAGCCGAGCGAATACGAAGCAACACAATTCCTTTCTAGATTTTTCCGGTTGAACGATTCCATATGTTGTGTGGTTAGATATAAGCTTAATTTATGTATATACTCACAAAAATTCGGGTGTCTCGAGAAAGGCGCTGCCACCCAGCTCCTGTGGGTACTGGAATTTGAGGAAGTAATAAACGTGTCCATTGAATATGCCCACCAGTGAGGCCAAGGAGCCGTGGAAAACTAGCTCGATACCGGCTAGTACCCAGGGTAGGTACATGGCCTTGAAGCGACTGCCAAACCAGAAGCTAACAATGACCTCTTTGTTCAGTTGGCACCAAATGTAGGTGATTGCAACGACCAGCATGTCCATCAGAAAGTATACGTTGAATAGCATGCCGCCGAGATTGGCTAGCACTGCGGTGATTATCAATAGATATAGGTAGTCGGAGGGGCTTCTCGCATATTGATCCTTTTCCAGATTCTTGCTGTACTGCGTTATGAAGTAGCAGTTGATCAGAAAGTGGAAGCCTGTCGCTCCGCTCAGTGGAAACACGAACAGAGAGGTGATGCATCGCCACAGCTGTAACCGGGTCAGAACCAGCTCACGGGATAGGTACATATATTCCATTGGCAGCAGACCGAATCTGCAGAGCAGGCTCATGCCGACTGTGGCTGTTAGCCAGTACCGTGTGAAGCGAGGCAACGAATGGTACCATGTCCCAGCGTCCATCTTCCTTAATATAAATATACGATGTCTTTGAATTTGCAAAACAGTCTTTCACTTCCAATTGTTGATTTACGTGTCTTTATACAACAGTGTGGCTGCATGACATAACTTCTAGAATACCAAAAATAAAAAAGTATGACTATATAAAAAAAAAAATCTATTGAACATGTAGGTGTACAGAATTAAAAAATAAATTTAAACAATCTTTTTATTGAATTTTAGTCATTTTGTATTAAATGACAATATTTGCCAAATTAGGAAGTGACATTCAAATATGTATAGCAAGTTACAGTTCAGTGGAATTTATCGATTGTTTAGGAAGGCGCGCGGAAAATTTATTTCTTTTCAAATATTGCATGTTCATATTTTTCTAACTTTTTCATAAAAATATTTGTTTATGGCTGAAAGCATATTGTGTCAGAGCTGAACAAAAGTGAGGCGTTGATGCGAAACTAATGTAGATTTGGCGATTTTTTAAGTGGAAATGTGGTGAATACAAGAAGAATGAAACGCAGGCATATAAATTGATGGCTGTCAATTCAGTGTCATTGCTAACTGTAAGTGGTTAATTTTTAGTACAATCTTTTCACGCAGATAAACCATGTGGAAAAAAGTAAAAATATTTGTTGTACGCAACCAAATGTATAATACATGAAATGTACGTTAGCCCTTACTGAATTTAGAGACCTATGTACAAGGTATATCTATTTGTATCTGTGGTCCAGCTGTAAAATTACTATTGCAAATATTTTCTAGTAGGGTAAATAATATTTCTATTTCATTTGGAGATAAGAAGTATAATGCGAATATAGAATTTGAATAATTAATAATTATAAAGAAAGCTAATGAACAGGTGTTCAAACTGTTAAAGATATCTCAATATGAATTCTCTAACCAAAGTTGATTACATACTTATTTTTATCACATTAACAAATGTCTAATTTTGGTTTTCTCTACTATTCTAATTTATCATTTTTGCTAATAAAATGTATTAAATTGAAAGCAAAAGTTTTTTTGCGTGCAAAGTGTGTAAAAGCAATTAAAGAGATACATTTCTATGCAAAAGACAAAACGTATCTACTCTTAACACAGCAGGCACAAGACGCAATACACACATCCACACACATGTGTATGATTTGTTGTTGCCTGTTGAATTTGAATACTTTGTGCATAATGTGGCTACAGACACTCAGCAGCGAGAGCGAGAGCGAGACAGATAGTGACATAGGATACGAGTGCGAATGTTGAAATGAAAAGAACGAGCTAATCAAGTATTTTTTTAACGGTTCAATGTGTGGCTGGTTTACGTGTGGTGTTTATGTGTGTGTTAGTGTGCAACTGCTTGCTGTTGAGTGTATGCGTGTGCGAGGCCACACCCACCATTTAAATGCAAAATGGATGATACAACTACAGACGCATGCGCTGCCAGCAACAACACGCCCACATGCGCGAATGCTCATTATGAAGTTCTTTGCTGTTTTAGTAGCTGTTGACAAAGTGCACAAACACACGCGCATACAAATGTATGTATACATATGTATATCAGTATGTGTGTGTGCGGGGCTTTATTTATTTACGCGTTGAGCTTTTGCAGCGCCTTCCACTCACCTGGCCCGCTGTCATTTTGTTGTCGGCGTTGCCGTTTTGCTCGCTCATTTCGTTGTAATGTGGACACATATACATACATAAGCATCCTTACACATACATATGTACATGTACATACAATATATGTATATATGTAAATAATATGATATTTCTCTCATATGTACATGAATATGAGAGAAGAGCTGAGCATTTTATATTCGTAACTTCAACAGATTTTATATCATATTTGATATTCAAATATTGAAGAGATGAGAATTTATATATATGTATATAAGTATATATTTACAGATATGACTTTTATATGTACATACATATACATATATACATACTTACAAACTATTTGTTCCATGGGAATTTTTGACTACGTATCAGAAATTTGACATCCATCCTAATTACAGTAATTACTTGATTACGAAATCTCCCAGGGTGCACAACAATTCATATCCCTTTCAAATATATGTACATACGTACAAGCGCAATTATGTATGTTTGTATGCAAGTACGCATGTAAAGGCCAAATACGACACACTCTTCACATACGTAATATATGTACATACATACATGCGTATCGAGCACATATTTACATACACACATTATGTTTTTTACAGTTTTTCACATTCCTGCAGAGCTCGCTATCTTCGTCTCACTCTCTCGCTCTTTCGATTATAGCGCAGCGGGGCTTGGTAGGTTAACCTAACAGGGGGCACCCAAAAAGAAAAAAGCAAAAGGAAAAGAAAATAGAAAAAGAAAAAAGTCAAACATAAATGAGAACGCAAAAAGAGGCAAATCATAAGAGGAACGTGCGCCGCCAAATTGCAGTACAAATATGTACTCGTTCAGGGTGTGGGCCGACGTAGGGGCACACACAGCTTAGAAAAAGGACAGTCCGCAGATACTGCAGCTGTCAAACATACACAAACATACACATACACGCGTACAAAACTACAGCTATGGCGTTAACATTACACACATACACACGTACTCACACTCTCTTAATGTACAAGAGACATATTGCTGCGAGTCGCTCAGAAACAGCCCTCAAATTGTGTGACTAAGGAACGCGGCTGGCGTTGTCCAATTGGTGCTAGCGAGAGCGAAAGAGAGGCGTCGTGTAATGATGTTGATTAATAATGATAATGACGTTTGTGTGCGCTCGATGCGCTCGCTGCTCTCGTATTTGTTTCATTTTTGCGATTTCGTCTCTGCCTCAGCCATAACGGTAGTTGCTCGTCACGTAAGAGCGAGAAAGCATGAACGCGCGCATGCCATCCATTTGAGTTTGAAATCGACGATTGAAGCCGTCGGCAAATTGAAACATAATAAGGCTGCGAATGCGTAGGCGAGGCAACGGTAAACGGACATTGCCATTTAGAGTCCAACCAGCCAACCAGTCAGCCAGCCAACCAACCAACCACCATGTTGATATGCGAGCTCACTTTATCGCTGTTTGCCTTAACTTACTTTGGCTCATAAATAAAATATTTACATTACGAAATTGACGTCTTCGATGCTCGGTCGCATTTGCATGGTTCCTTTTTTTGCGGGCTCCTTCCGTGCACATTAAACGGACGACAGCTTTCACCTAGCTGTAGGCACGCGCGCGTATCTGTGTATGTGTGTGTGTATTTCTCTCTCTGTCTCTCTCTCTGTCTTTCACTTACTCGTTCGCTTGCTCTCAGTGTTTATGTGCACTTTGTAAAGATTCGCATAAGAAAATACAAAATGACCTCCAGCAGTGAGTGGATTGATTAGTCTAGGACCAAATACTTTAGGGGGCGACCCAGAAAAACGCTTTGAAGTCATTTCGGTTATTAAATTTTGAATACTTACTTACGCTGCACCGCAAAGAAATCAAAACAAAAACGGATTTTAATTAACGGAACAAACATCATCATCAGGAGCATTTCAACATCTTGGTTGCGTGAGTCTCAACATTTTGTTTATCTTAATTTTGTTGTTGTTGTTTATCTGAATGTTAAGGGATTTTTGTGTTAAGCAAATAATCATAAGTAAATCTACAAGTGTAAATATCTTTTACAGTTAGACATAGGCCAAATTAATTTTACGTGTTTATTTTGCAAATATTTTTATATTTTATTTGGTGGCTTTTGATTATTTAAAAGTAATTTGATTTTTATAGGTGAAAATTCACTTGTCACAGTCTATATTTCATGAAATTTTTTCTATTTCAGAATGCATTAGCTTTAAGAGTTTGTTTAGTTAGACACCCGTCTTATCAATATTATGCTTTGAAATGGGTTTCTTAGCTAAAAGCCAGCTAGATAAGCTATAGAATAGATCTTAAATTGTTTGCGTACTAATGAATAATATTCATTGAATATACAAAAACCGGATTTTAATTACCGTCCATATCCATATCTTCAAAAGCCGTAACTTAGCCTTTGAAGTCTAAATCACCTGCAAGTTGGAAACTTTAATTAAGTTGATCATTTTCAAATTCTGCTTTTTCGTATCATTTAACTCTAATGAAACAGTTTCGTTTTGAAGAGAACTCAGAGTTCTGTTAATTAATCCTGAACATGATTGAACATTCTTGCTGGGAATTTGTGGAGTGTAGAATGAAAGCGTTGCAAAATGAATTTTCATTCAAATTGAAGATGATGATGATGATGAGAACATCCAGCAACATTGCGATTTCACTTGACCTAATTTGTGCTGCGTAGCTGAATGATCTGAATGTTGCGCCTCTTTCACATTTGAAAATATACCTATGAGAAAATATACCTATTGAAATTCACTCGCTTTATTTTGGTTATTGAACTCTGATTTGGAATATTATATGAAAAATGTTAGACTATGATAACTTTTATTATTATTACATTATTGTTATGTGAAATTAAATATTAATATTTAATATTGCGACATGAAAGAGCTAAATAATCTTATACTCCTTATCCTTCTTCAGATAGTTATGTCTTCTTTCCAGAATTTAGTTTATTTAGTAGTTTACTAGTTTATTAGGCACAAGGAACTGTTATGGTTGCGTTAACAAAATATCATCCACTCACATGCCTCCGAGGCTAACTGCAGGCCCTGCTTGAAGAGGGAGCTTGTAGATGTTCAGGTGTGTGTGTGTGTGTAGGTGTGCTAAGTGAAAGGAAAAGTGTTTTAGCCGTTAGCTGAGCGCGCACGAAACTCTATCAGGCCGTCGTGCATCAATTGTTAATGCCACAGACAGACGCCGCATGCAGCTGCCTGGGAGCAGGATGCGAGCAGAAGTCGCTGCCACGTCCAAGGACTGCTCAGCATGGTGGCCGCAACTTGAAGTCGATTCGCGCGCTTTTCAATTTTTAATTGGGATTTCTGATGTGCTGGCACTGCTCCTGCTGGTGCTGCCCCACGCATTGCCTCGGCGCCTTTGTTGACTCACTCGAATGATGGCATGTCTTGTGCCTAGTCCTTGTCACGTGGTGGCCAAATGCGAAATGCGCTTTTCAGCAAACACAAAACACAAAACGCAGAAAACCCGAAGGAAGTCTTGACTGACTGAGCGCGTTCTTTTCCCTTTGGGGGTTCGAAATGTTTACACGATTTTTCGTGGTT